GGTGATTTCCAAGTCTTGTAAGAGCTGTGCTACACAAGGATTGGAGAACCATACGTAAGAAAAGCAAGGGCAACGAGAAGCGATATTCTTGTCTTTGGCAGACTTTTCATTCACATTTTGACAACAATCTAGGGAGAAAGAACCCCCCCTCCCCCCTTCCTCCGAATCGATGATGGATTCCCGCTAAGATCAAAACCCCATTTGAAATTAGAAAAGGGATGGTTTTAAATTTTCATTTCAATCGTCCACGGTCCATGGCTTTCATGCTCAATACGCGCAACAGAAGGAGGAAACTTTCGACTTCAGGGGCCCGTTTCTCGAAGGTCCCGAAAAGTTTTCGCACCCGGAGGGCCGTAGCAAAATCTCAAACCATACGATTACAGAGCTGTTTTATTTACATATTCTTAATATGAACATAGGTTCCATTCCCTACAAGAAGTCTCAGGCGTATACACCTGTCTGTCTTTAAATACCGGTTAACTAAAAATGGCTTTTCAGGCCCGAAAATTTTCTGGTGCTTTCGAGAAACAGGGCCCAGGTTAACGTTCGTGACTCCAAACTCCTTAGTCAAACAATCCAGGAAAGGGAACCGGAACCGGAAACTCGCATTTAAATGTCCCGTGATTGTGGACACGCATCACGTCACACGTATGTTTAATTAATGACACGTATGCTGAATTGCCACACGTTTAATTTCACTTTTTTACCATAAATACAATAAATAAAGCATTTTCAAATCCACTATGTGTCTTTTCACAATAAATTACTTTTTACAACATCAATTCCGATAAACATTTTAGGCAAAGCGGCCATTTCAGTACAAGCTTCTGTTTGCTTTTTCGTCCATGTTTCTACTTTCAATGCTTGTAAAAATTCTGCTTGCTGCACCGCACTAGATCTTTCATCACTTGGTTTACTCAATACTGCAAAAGCTGGCGATAAAGGCCGCAAAGTATTTCCTTTTTAATCTATTTCCACTCGTCCACTAATCCACTACGTTGCAGTGTGAAGACTCAACGTGCTGTTGTTGAGACCATCGCCGATAGCTCGCAAAGCTTCGCCAACTTCTCTAGATCTCCTCTTCTCGGAGTTTGTTCGCTGCCGAACTGATAAAGTGTTTCCATTCTCTGTACTCTGTTCTTCTCTGCCATGACGGCTTCTTCGACGGAAACTAAAGCTTAAGGATCGTCTCCTCGGCTGGGGTTGGCTTGTGCTGTTAGTTCGCTTGAAAAACCTGAACCCCATAAATCCTGTGTGATAAAATTGACAGCAGATCAATGTCGATGTTGCTAGTAACTCATTTAAGCCTGTAATCTTATCTTCGTTAGAGAGAAGAAATATTGGCTAGTTTTAAGCTGAAAATCGAGCAAAATAACCCTGCAATTTCGGTGAGACAAATTAATTCCTTAATGGCAAAATGACCAAGTTCGAAGAAAAAAGATCAGATTCACGTCGAATGTCTTCACGACACCTTCATAATTTTTGCAAACAATCGTGCAAGTATATGCCAAAGTAATAACATCGATTCACTGACCTGAAAAAAGGCTTATCGCTTCAGAGAGCTTCGTTTTGCCTCGATTGACTGTGTTTTGATAAGTTCTTAGTGCTTCTTGCCAAAGTATATTTCAGAATGTATTAAACGTGACCTTTATATCTACTTTCCTTTTTGACGACCCTTACGTCATTTGACGGGACGCACGTATTACATGTAACCTTTGTTCCTTGCGAAAGAGTCAAGGGAAAACCCTTCTGAGCTTCTTTTGACGTCAAACTAGAAAATAACGCTCACTGATTCGTTGCTAACACGACCGGGCGGGTGTTGATTGGTCCTTTGTTTTGAACAGGCAACTTTCCTTAAACTGCTTTGTTCTTAACAGGAAGTAAAAGATTTCTCAGAAAATTGTGTCACGCGCAGGAAGCTCTTTTTTGTGCTAAAACGATCATGTACGCGTGACCAGACACGAATTTTGCTGCATTCCTGTGTAAGGATTCTTCGTATGCTCAATGTAATATTCCTGGTGGTTAAGGTGGCCCTGGCAACTCGCGGGTTAATTATAATTTTGGCTACGGCTTTGAAAACCAAGCATAAAACGTTGAAATGACCGCGTTTTGGAAAGACAAGTTCACGCTGTACTGATTCAAGACACTTCATTTATTGTCTCCGCATATTGGTTACCAGCTTGATTAAAGGCCCATTGCTGTCCTGCGTCACTTGTTTAAAGTGCGAAGAAATCCTCTGCCCAACCAAACAAGTGTAATGCAAGCGTAGACACGAGCGGATTTTCACTTCCGGTAATTTTGCAATAGCCAAGCGCGCGAGTGACGTCATAACTAAGACAAACTCAGACAAGATTTGACGCTTTTTCAAGCGCTTGAGCAAGTGTTCCTAAAACAACTTTTAAAACGAAAATTTGGCGTTCGTTTTCCTCCTATTTCTCTCGGAACACGCTTATGTTGTCTGACTCCCGCGGGGTTTCATTAATTTGCATTCTATTTTTAGACTTCGCGCGCTTCGTTATTTGATCTGCCTCGATCTGACCCTGAATTTGAACCTTATTGACATTGATTTTTGTGACTTATACCTGTTTGCTTATAATCAGAAAGTGCGCATTATATGTTAGTTTTAAATCGGCTCATTGCGGTCCCAAGAATTTTCTTATCTCACGGTGGCATTTGGGTTTTAGGAACTTCAGTATTTGCGAGCCTTCCTATTTTAACCATACCATAGAACATACAGTGGCTAACTTAATCAATGCGTCGTACGCGGGGCGCATGATGAGAAGGTTGAATGTAATGCTGTCAAATGTACGACGGCTTTCCTGTGTTCTGATTGGCTTAATTGTCTATGGCATGGCATATTGTAAGGTAAGATATTGATCATATCACACATAACATTAACAATTCATTTTTGTGATTTATAACTGTTTGCCTGGTCGCATGAAAATGCGCATTAGAGGTTAGTTTTAAGCCAGTCCGCGGCAGTAGATTCTATTGAATGCCGTTTTAAGCTGTTTTAAAATTATTCTTTGTGGACATTTCGTTAGACCGGACTTATCGGTTAGGGTATACCTGTAGTTTTGAAGCCAGTTTGGTCTGAATTTGCTCATTTTGGCCTGATAAATGATTGCATATTCCGGTCAGCATTAGACCATATTTGTATTCGCAGTATTGGACTGGAACTGGCTTGCAGCTGAGGCTAACGCGGGGAGCCTCCATTGTAAGCTAGTTCCAGTCTGAAACCGAGAATACGAGAGTGTGGAACTTTATAATATTTCTAACTTAAGCTAAGTTCATGTGTCTCTTGTCTGAAGATCTCTAAACCGCGGCACTTGCTGGGTAAGGCTTTGTCTGAATATATTGTATGCCGATTTACATGTAAGGATCAGGTTTGATCTGAAGGGTAGGGAAAATAGCGAATTGTTTGGTTTTACAGTGTCGACGCGCCGCACATCGTCACCCAAATGTTCGTGGAACACCCCCTTCCGGAAGATAGCCCACTTTGTTAGCGCGAGGCAGCAAAACGCCATTACAACCAGGTTGAAGAGTTTTAGCAGTGCGATAGAATTCTTCGTTCTTGTAGCTTTCTTCAATTCACTGTTAGCCATGAGAGGAATATTCCCGCGCGTTTTGCCCTCGCGTGCTAACAAACTCAAGTTGTTATTATTTGTAAAAATGCCTAATGGCTGACTACCTAACTACCTATAAATTTCCTGCCAGAAGGTACGAAGAGGGAGGTTCGGTCCGGTCACAACAGATTTCACTAAAATATCAATCCGTGAAGGCATGAATGATTTCGCTACCCGGGCAAAATATGGATGTTGAAATATGGATATTGTCACGACACCAACTCGCGCGGGTAACGCGCGAGATGAGTGAACGCTCCCAGCATTCTCTGCAACAACAGTTCGTCCATGTTGTTCAACCGCGAAAGTTGAACGAGACTGAAAAAAGGCAGACTAAAAGGTTAATTTGTTCTTATTTACTGTGTATTTAGTATCTTTCCTTGTAGTGCTTTCATGCTTTGTTCGTATGAAGGACTTTCTCCTTATCAGTGTACCTGTTGTATACTCAGGGAAGAACTTCGCTTGGAGCTGGAGAGCTTTGTTGGTGAGCGATTGAACTCGGATTGCAGGTAAGCTTTTTGGAGAAACAAAGTATATTTGATTTATCTACATTGTTAACTGTAGTAATATGTATTTCTTCCCCTTTTGATCGGGTTCCAGCTTGCTTCTAAGTTAGC